TGGTTGATTATTTTCCAAGGCTAGATATCTGCCAATATTTATTTTTCTGTTAAGAGTCAGCTTCAAGAGCTTTTGCTCGTGTTGGTTTTAAAACGTTTGCTGTAGTGTCAATTGTTTTGTAGGCTCAAGTTTTCTGAGCGAAACGCGAAGAAAGAGAAAAAGGAATTGGACGCATTAGAAGCACTGCACAGGATAGAAAATGGAGGAGAACCGACCTCCTCTGCAAAATCATAGACTCTGAGAGAGACCAGCTACGAGCACTGCAGCTCATCAATAACAATTCAAACGAAGTCCATCACCAGGAGAAGTGCTCTTTTGCCCAGCCTTAGTTTCATCACGCAGAAAATGATTACTTCCACACAAGCAACCGAACACGCCATCAGAAAATGTACAATAGAAAGTTTTATTCGAGATCCCACGTAGCAATAATGTGAACAGATATTCCTTTTTATAAACAATTTTAATGGATGAAGTTTTATTATCCCTTATATTTAATGAAATGATATCAGGGTTGCCAGTGTCAGAGACGCCATAGAAAGCATCGGGGAAATTTAGATATTTTTGAAGTCCGAATTTTCAAACTGATTCGATAACACTTTTTGCTGCATATTTCATAATTTAGAGGGTTTTATTACAATTGACCTTAAAATTAGCTGTGATGAATCTGTTTTTCCGAGTAATGTTTTGTTCTAAGCGTACTAGGTTTTCAATGCAAGTGTCGTGGAGCAGTTTTGTTGAACAAACTCTTGGCAACTCTGAACAAGTGTTACTTTTCTGCGCGCGTATGATTCTTCCAATTCGTATCTTTATAAAAATTAATTTTGTAATCTCGATTTCAATTGAAATAAAATTTGCAATATCACGCTCTTAGAAAAGAAAACTCTCTTGGTCATTTTTCTACGTGGATATTACAAAAAAAAATTGCGCTCAAAATTCTTCCGTTTGTGGATGTTAATTTTATGATTTCCTAACGTGTGGTAAAAAAAGGCAATTGATCTAAAGGGGACCGACCCATTAGCAGACCAATCTTTAGCATAAAAAGTGAAAAATGAGAGCTTTAGCAGACCCAACGTTGTAAAGTGACGGATGATTGATTGACAGGCTTAAAAAGACGTTCAGTCTGGGGCCCTGCTTTCCCAATTAAGACAATTATCTCTCGATTTGTCAACAAAACTGGGGGCTATTCTCATGCGCGAAGGACCGAATGGGCGAAAAAACTCGTGATCGAAGGACAGAAAACAAAATTAGCCGTAGGTCAATTTTTAAAATGGAGCAAATGCTATTCAATTAAAATGAATAAAATGAAATTAGCAATATTTTGCTTTTTTCATAACGAAACCTTTGAACTATAAAATTTGTTCCAAATCAGCGGCGGTCAGTGACAAATTAAAAATTTTGCATATTTCTCCCGTTTTTATATTCGGCCAATATCAATATTCAGTCCCTGAAAATGTTTACTTTCTTTCCAAATTTTAAATTACTGAAATATGTTGGCTTGTTTTCATTTTCGCGCATTCGGTCCGTCGCGTATGAGGGATTCCACCAACAAAACTATCAACTTCAAAAGCACAAGTCTAAATTTGCGGCAAAATAAAAAGAGTGACGCGCGCAATGACACTCGTGTTGAATTGAAGCGCAGCGGAGCAATCTGTCGCTAATCGCCAATGCCGCGTTTAGAGTTAGCTATCTGACTTTATAATTGTTCTGAGTCTGCTAAAATCCCTAGCATATCGAACTAAATTTCAAGTCAATGAACACAATGAAGACTTTTATCTAGGTCGAGTATTTTTCTGTTTTTTATTGGAAACATTTAATAAAGCTCATTTTGTTTTTTTCTGATTTTATCTGATTTTTTTAAGATTCAATGAACGTACTGAAGACTTTTTAATAGGTCTTGATAATAAGTTTATTTTTTCTGAAAAAAAAATCTTGAAATTTGTTCACGCTCAAAGTAGATTTTTCGCGAATTGACTTTTGATTCGTTTTTATGCTCGTTTCCTTTGTTTAAAGGAAGACAAACTCGACTATCGACCAGCAAAGTATTTAAGTCATGAAAAACGCGATCGGCCTCTAGTTTGAAAAATATCTTTGATATTTCACGGCTGAATAAAAATTTTACTATTGATCCAGTTGTATACCTACTGTTCTTGAAATACAAAGAATTTAAAAGGCATGTATTTTTTCTTTGAAGTTCGTAAAGAGTATATTCCTCTGTTTTTTTTTGTGTTGATTGACTCTTCGCTAACGGTATTCGCTATGTTTTGTGGGTTCAGTTCAAATTGATTGCTGAAAAGAAGGCACAGACTTTCCCCATTACGAAAGAACAAATTGTGAGACGAAAACTTGCGTGAATGACTAGATTCCAAAGTGACTCTTTTTAGATTTCGCAGAAGATGAAACAAATTACCTTTTGACTCAGTGTTCTCTAATTAGGTGAGCTTTCAGAAAAAAGTACCAATAATAAAAGTTTTTTAGTGGAACTTCATGCAATGAATTTTCTTCAAAAGTCGAAAGAGTTGCATCACGAAATGTTACCTTTTTCAGTTTCTGTGAGATCATTGACACTTACCCAACTCTTTATTGGTTATGTTTTTTTTTCGACATGCAGCATAATTTTTTATTGCGAAAATACTATAACTACTTAATACTAGTGCTAGTTTGGGTGGCATTTTTGCAACAGGCAGCATTTGCAATTTAATAGCATGTGCTCGAAATTTGAATACTTCTAATTGTTGCAGTTGCATCAGATAGGAGCTCTTCGGAGGTTTTCTATTTCAACTGATGGTGCGTGATAATGTTGCGTGATTCGACCCATTCTTCGAAGTGCTTTCCACAGTGTGCTTTCGAATTTAATTCAGCTAAATCTGCGTAAAGGTTTTCTTTTGTCTCTTCTTTTTCTATTATTTGGCCTATAAATGTATTCAATTTAAATGCGATTAAGTATCTAATGCTTTACTCGTAGCCGTCATAGTGAACGTATCACTCAAGCTTTCAAGGCCACAAAGATTAAAGTGTACTTGACACAAAAAAAAAACTTAATATGATTTTAATTTATTTTTCAGGGATCTTAATCCAGCCGGATAACAAAAGGAATAGTAGACAAGGATAGCTGGTTAAGGTGCAAGTAACACAGAATGTTCCGACTAGTCTTAAAGAACAACAAAAAAAGTTTTCAAACTAGTGTCGTTTTTTGGCGTGGCGTGATAAAAAGAGCTGCGCGAAAAAAAGAGGTGAGTCATATTTGCCAGCCATTGTTAAATACGCAAAATGGAAAACGAATTTTGTAGAAAAATTACTAGAAAATTTAAAAAAATCAACAAATTTTTCTATTTTTTTCAGTTTTTTTTTCAATTTTGATTTCAATTTTTTAGTTTTTGATTCCAAAAAGGCACTTAAATACTCAAACTTAACTCTAATAAAACTAAAGTTTTTACGGCTTAAATTAAGCTGTTATTAGCTTTTAAGCCATTAAAATAGGCTATTGCAATCTTGCTCGCTTGCTTTATTTGCTGGAATTAAGACGAAAATCAAAAATTTTAAGCAGGTTTTTCTCGACACTGGAAGAATTTTTTCAAAATTTTTAATGTCGTTCGAATCAGGACTCAAACGGCTTCAATATGATATATCACTCAGCTCTCTCCGATAATTATATGTGGCCGCTGATTTTGCGTGGAAAACAAAAAAATAAGGATAGCCGGCTACTGTGCAAGTAATGTTTCGACCATAGTCTTAAAAAGTACTTTTTTTGGCATGATGTGATAAAAGGAGCTGAACGCAAAACGCGATTAAGCATATTCGACAATCATAGTAAATAAAGCAAACTGAAAAACAATTTTTGTAGAAAAATGACCAAAAGAAATACGACTCTAGAGGCTTTAATATGAAACATTAGTCAGCTCTTTCCGATGATTATTTGTAGCTGATTTTGCGTGGAAAGCAAAAAAAAAGAAAAACTAAAACAGCCGAATACAAAATTCCTGCCCATTTTTCAAATAATCAGAACAAAAAGCCGAAGTTCAAGAGGGATCTAGGAGTTTTTCGAGGTAGGAAGAAGTTTTTGGCGACACATTCAAACTTAAAAAACACAAGCTAGAGGGGGCGTTTTCAGCTCTTTTTGGAAAGTGATATCTATTTTTCCTTTAGCCTTCCCACCTCACACTTTTAACTTGCGCAAAAATTTGACTCGCATTGGCCGAATTTTTTGCACTGAGCCTTTTAAAACCACTCGTTATGCCATGAAACGTTACAGCAAAATAAATTGCGTGGGGAAATGAAAAATAAAGTTTTTCATTCGGCGTGCTCTTTAAAAATACCATATTAAAGGCATTTAAGAAAGCTTTTAAGAACGGTTGGTTCTTTTCCACTTTTCTTGCTCATTTTTCAAAATTTCCAACTTTCCTGTTTTTTTTTCCGTGTAATTTTGGCTAAACACGTAAAGTTACGGAACAAGGTATGAAGAACAAATCTGTTTGAAACTGTCAGTTTGTTCACCGTGCCAATTTTTGTTGCATTTAGACAATATAAAGAAAGTTTTTGAAATTTGAAGGTGGGGTAGTGGAAAAGATCCGAATGGTCGGCCAGAAATGGATGTCGTTGGGTAGTACCAAAGGGGGATTCTTTGAGCGGCGAGGGGTCAAAATGGGTGGTTAGAAATGGTTTTAAAAATTTGTTCATGCCAACACGTTTTGGCTCTTTTCCAGTCCCCCCTCCCTTCAAATTTAATTTTGAAAATTTTATTCTACGTTGTCATAATGCATTGAAATTTGGCATGGTGAACAAATCGACAACTGTGAACAGATTTGTTCTTCATACTTTACATCGTAACAGCACGCATTTAGCCATAATAACACGTAAAACAAACATAAAACTCGGTATTTTGAAAGGGGGAAACTGGAAAAGAGCCCACGTTTTATTGCAGCTTAGAACGTCAAAAGTTGTATTAAATAGACTTCAAAAAAAAAATTTGTTTTTAAAAAAAATCAATTGGGGGTGGACTGGAAAAAATCCAAGCTGTAGTGCCACTCAAAATAGCTCTGACACTGGAATGTTCAAATGTGTCGCACGTGCATATATCGAACAATTTCAGCGGATATTAGCTTTGATTTGTACATTGGCATTGTTTGAAATATAACTTGTGAGGATGATGACTGTGAGTATGATGGACTGTGCCAATGTGCTGCTGTGGCTGAGTGTGAGTGCCCTTCTGTTCGGGGAGGTGTTGAGGGAAGTGGATGCTTCTGATGACAAGACCAAGGGGGAGGGTGAGGGGTGGGACCAAGGCGGCGGAGAAAAGACAGGTGGGGTGCTTGAGAGAGATCAACTGCTGCAGAATCAGATGCGAGACAAGAGGGCTTTGCGAGACTCCAAGGGAGCAGCTTTGGTACGTTATAACTTTTTTATCTCTTTCTCTCTCCGTCCTATCCCCGTCCATGATTTTGTTTAATGTTCATGTATGTCCCACCTCAATTCTGCTTGCCAAGCTTTTCCAAAGGGTCCCGTTTTGGTAATAGTTTACCACAGCGACTTGTGGCTAAATAGCCCTAAAAAAAATTTTGCCGCGAAATATACCTATTTTAAGCAAGCGTGCGCCAGAACAAAACAGCCAGTTTTGATTAAAAATTTCCAGCAAATGCCCTAATACGTCATTTATGGCCCATTTTTGGCGGAAATTTTCCCCCAAAAGTCTTTAAAATTCGGTGAATATTCTCATTCTAATGTTTCGCAGCTGTCCGTAAATAGAAATTCTAAGGTTTCGGAATAGCATACCTAAATTTCAATTTTGAAAAATTATGATAACATTGTCATTATGCTATGAAATTTGGCGTGGTCAACAAACTAGCAATTCTGCATTTAGCCATCATAATAACACGTTCAACAACCAAAAATAAGGAAATTTGGCTCTTTTCCAGTTCCCCCCTTTCAAAATCAATTTTGAAAAGCTTATATAACATTGTCATATTGCAATGAAATTTGGCGTGGTGAACAAATCAACAATTGTGAACAAATTTGTTCTTCATACTGTACAGCGTAACATCACGCATTTAGCCGTAATAACACGTAAGACAAACATAAAACTCGGTATTTTGAAAGGGGGGAAACTGGAAAAGAGCCGGAAATTTGAGAGGTGTGGGGGGTGCAATAGACCCGAATTACTTTAATTCTACTATTTCAAACAGTTTCGTGGTGAAACTGATTTTGCTGTCACTTAGTTGTCATGAAAACTTGCAGTCGGCCATATTACCATATTAAAAAATCTCAAGACATCTGTTTTGCATTTGAAGTTTCAGTATGGGCTCGTTTTCATTACACCCCACCGAACCCCCAACCTTCCACCCCATTTCAAATTTTCAATGTTTACATTTGTTTAAACGTCTTGTTGCGACATGAAGTATGAAGAGGACATATCCGTTGAGCGTGTGTGAAGTTGCAGGTGAATGCGATCAAAGATTGGAAGCAGAAGAATGTGCCAATTAGGAAGTTCTCCCTCACCAATGTGAAACACGTGTTGGCCTGCTACAATGTCTGTTCCACTGCATCCCCCAACCCCCCACCTACACCCCCTTCCAAAGGACCCGGTGGGGCAGCTTCTGGTGCAGACCAAGCCAACCAAGGGGGAGCTGGCAGAGTGCGTCGACTGCAGGGTAAGCCATACCGAACAAACTTGCCAACAGTTTGACCAATCTTTGGCTCTTTTCCAGTCCCCCCTTTGATTTTCTGAAATTCATTATATAGAAGTCTATCTAAAATGGTTTTTCATGTTATAAACTGCATTAAAATGTGTCAGTGTGAACAGATGAACAAATTTCCACAACAAACCTTTCATACAAATTGCCGGGTGAACAATTTTTGAACAACTTTGGGCTCTTTTCCAGTCCCCCCCCTTTAAGTTCAATTTTGAAAAGCTTATTCAACGATGTCATAATGCAATGAAACTTGGCGTGGTGAACAAATCGACAACAGTGAACAGATTTGTTCTTCATACTTTGGGCTCTTTTTCCTCTCCCCCCCCCCCCACCTCACACAAACATGAATTTTATAGTCTAACGAGTTGTTTTACAAGGTTAATTATGAAGACCAAATATGTTTGTCATGGCCTAATTAGTATGCATGTCAATTTTCATGACAATCCGATAAAGTGAACAGTAATTTCAAATTGAAAAATTTGCAGGTGGGGGGAAAAGGAAAAAGAGCCATACTTTGCAGCGTAACATCACGCATTTAGCCGTAATAGTACAAAAAACAAACATAAAACTCGATATTTTGAAAGGTGGGGGGGGGAAGTGGAGAAGAGCCCAACTTTGTTTGGTAATTTTACGAGGGGTGGGAAACTGGAAAAGAGCGCAATTTTTCTTTGACACTGTTATTACACAAGCCAAGCGTAGTGTATTATTACGAAGAAAATAATTTTTCTAAGCTAAATTGCAACTAAAAGTGCTCATTTGGTGGCCTTCTTGGTATATTTCAATTTAATCTACTATATATTTAAATGCGGGCTTCACTATCTCGCCATGTTTAAGCTTTTTCAACGTATTATTTTTGCATGTTTAAGCTATCTCGTATATTGCAATGGTTAAGAATTTTTTTTTCGCTTTTTCAATTTGATTTTAGTGGTTACTTTACCAAGTTTAAATTAAGCAGCCCAATATCGAATTAGGGATTGCGAATTCGGTCTCCAATTTTGAATGCCTTAATCACTTTAGATAACGAGATAAGACGATTTTTGAGATTTTTTGAAAAATGTTATCGGAAATTTCGAATTAAATAATTTACAAAACTTGAAGTTCCCAACCTTGTAGTTGAGTGCTGTCAGAATACTCTAAGGAGTTACAAATCTTGCCTCCAAATATGAATGTTCAAATCTTTGTAGTTTTCGAGATATGACGTTTTTTTTGTGATTTTTTCAAAAATTTTCAGAAAACCTAAAATATTATTTTATTAAAATCTGAAATTCCCAACCCTGTAGTTGGGTCCTGTCAGAGTAATCTGAAAGATTGCGAATCTTGCCTCCAAATATGATTGCTTAATTCTTTGTAGTTTTCGAGATGTGACGTTTTTTGTGAGTTTTTCAAAAAATTACAGAAAATTTTAATAATTATTATTTTATAAAAATTTGAAATTCCCAACCCTGTAGTTGGGTACTCTCATAGTACTATCAAGGATCGCGAATCTTGCCTCCAAATATGGCTGCTCAAATCCTTGTAGTTTTCAAAATTTTTCAAAGAACTTATCTACAAAGAAATTCAAAAAATTTGAAACTACTAACTTGATGAAGATACAACTGTTTTGTCAGCGTACACTCAGGCGTCTCAAATCTTGCCTTTCAATATGAATGCTCAAATCCTTTTAGTTTCCGAGATAAGATGTTTTTTTTTCGGGAAACTTAGGTTTAAAAAATTTTGGATTTTTAACCCTATAGTAGGTTGCTCTCAAGGACTCTCAGTGGTGGCAAATCTGGCCTCCAAATTTCTCCAGAGGCCCATGAAGTCTTCGAGATGACGCTTTTAAAATGGGAATTTAAAAAAATTTAAAGTTCGAAATTACCAACCCTGTAATTGGGTGCAGTCAGAGTACACTAAAAGTTTGCAGATGTTGTTTCCAATATATGCGGTTTTTCATGAGTTGTCGAGAAATTTCGAAGCACCGAAGGTGCGTTAAACGCTAGTCTTATTTAAGTCTATTTACACAATAGTATGAACTATCTTTTTTTGGCTCTTTTCCAGTCCCCCCTTTCAAATTCAATTTTGAAAAGTCTATTTAACGTTGTCATAATACAATGAAATTTGGCGTGGTGAACAAATCGGCAATTGTGAACAGATTTGTTTTTCATACTTTACAGCGTAACACCACGCGTTTAGCCGTGATAACACGTAAAACAAACATAAAACTCACGTAAAACAGGTATATTGAAAGTGGGAACTGGAAAAGAGCCGTTTTTTCCGACCTAAATCGGAAATATTGTTGCGACCCAAATATTGTTGCGATAAAATGTGTTCATTTTGAAAGTGTTCATTATGACCAATAACCAGTTATTAAATACAGCCAATTCTAAGTATATTAGCATAGACTATTATTTTTTCGACTTTCATAACGAAAGTAACGGAATATTTGTGCTCTGGTGGTTTTTTCTTCAGACAAATTTCGACTTTTTAACTAACCAATTTTGTCGGGTTTTTTTATCATTCAAAAAGTTTTGTTGTCCTGAGCTTAAATTTGGAAAGATATTTTACCTGTGATGATTTTTCATAAAGTTATGGGGGTTTAAAAATTGCCAAGATGAGACAATTTACGCGCGATGTATTTGGCGCTTTTAACGCGTAAGCGGAGATTTAATCCGTCATAGAAATCGTTCCAATATAGTTGAAGGAGGCTTATTTGTCATAATTGATTTGTTTCTAGGAGCGAAATTCATCACTTTGTCCTTCATATGGTGCATGGGGGGATGATTTTTACATAAAAAAAATCTCAAAAAAAAATTTCATTTTATTTTTTACTACATTCAATTTTTTCATGTTATTACTGCTCCATAGACTGCTCTATAGTATGTTAGTTGGTTAAGTTCTTTTTTTTTCAAATTGATGTGTACTGCTAATCCATCACAATTGGCTTGCGTCATTTAGCAGTAATTTAGACTTATAATTGGCGTGCGTCACTTAAGAAAATTTGTAGAGTCAAAGTTCTACTCATTCAGTTCTTCCCAGTAGCGTTTTCGGTCATATTTTTGCTTGTGTATGGGAAGTGCAACTTCGCCTCTGTGTTGAAAATGAGCAAGTTACAAGCATATCTTGCTGCTTTGTTTTTGGCTAGTGTTAGATCCTGTTGGAAAAAAAAAACAGGTTTTATGAAAATGTATTGGTTTTGTTGTTTCATATTTTTTTTGTGAAGCTTTGGAAAATTTAGGCAGTTTTTGCAAAAATTCCAATTTTTTTCAAAAAATAATGAACTAATTTTTTTAAAAAAAGGTACCATTGAAAAAACAGGCTGCTTTTCTAAGTGCCTGCATTATTCGCTAGTCTCTTTTCATTTTACCCCTCGATCTATGGTCTTCCGAAAGTTTCATTAGAGGGTTTTTTTACCTAGTTGTTTTGAAATTTTTCATTTTCTCAAAAACTGAAAGCACGAATCTGAGGTGAGGTTTTCAATCCAAAGAAAAAACTATGGGCAACTCCCCTTCTCAAGCGGTTATTCCCAAAGTTCGGTAGAAAAAACTTATGGCCTCAAACAAGCCATTTTTTGACACTCTGGTAATTTTTAAATCTTTTGATTTTTTTACCCTGCCAAATCGGATATTAAGGATTTAACCAAAGAAAAACAATCAGTAATACGAATCTTCGCTGCTCAAGTCTTCTCCAGGCAAATTCCAGAAAAATCCCATTTTGGATTTTTTGCACGTTTTTGGAAACTTGTTCTTTTTTTAGCAACTAGCCTAAAGATTCTGAGGTTGATAGCTCATTCAAACTAACATGGCGCCATCTGTTTTACCCTGTTTTTTGCAGAAAAGCTAATATGAACTTCGGAAAGATCCATTTTTTTTTCTTCAAATTTTCACTTTTTTTTTTGAAATTTCGTCACTATTCTCGAAAACTACTTGCTAAACCTGATACCAAATTCAGGCATCTAAAAATCAGGGCATTGGAAGTCCTCCCTGCATACGAGGTTGATCCCATGCTTAGTAGACAAAAATTTATGGGTTCAGGATAAGTCAAGTTTTTGAATTTTGATCGATTTTTTAAGAATTTTTTTTTACTTTTTACGAAAACTACCTAGGTTAATCTGAGATAAAGTCTTCAATCGAAAGAGCGAGTAGTAATTTTCACCTTTAAATGAGCGGCTAATCTCCTACTCGAGCAGATAATTATCTGGAGTTTTGTGTAAAGTCCGTTTTTAACTGTTACGACTTTCCGTAAAAGTACGTACTTTTTTTTTTAAATATTAAAACAGGTAGATCCAGCATTAGCTGGGCCACTAGTTTTTTTCATGCGACCGTGGCGTAGATGCGACGACTAGAGACTCCTAATCAACAGGTCTGAGATTCAAAACCGGAACATTGAAATAGTTTTAATTTTTGGTTGATTTTTTGCTGCTTAGGATTGGCAATTTGGTAGCAACTGTAGCTGTTTTATTGGTGACAAGTGTTAGTACAATTACACGCGGTCATGGTGTGTTTTTAATCTTTTCCTTATTTCGCTTTGTTTTACCTGAGCTCTTTTTTTGCATTTTCCTCGCTTGTGTTTGCGAAGCGCAGCTTCGACTCTGTGTAAAACCTCAAAACAGCCAAACTTTGAGTGTTTTCCACTGTATATAGTAAAAGGCCCCCGACTACCACAATACAAACTTCACTGCTTGAGGGCTTCTGGTTTTCAGTTGTGGGCTGTTGTGCGCCCATTTAACCATTGAAATCAGCAGAACAAGTTTGTGTATGAATGAAAACTTGGAAATCTTGAGCCCCTTCCGCTCCCTTTCCGCTCTAATCAGTCAGTATGTCCTTGGTGTGTGTTGATGCTGCTGTTGCGTTGTGTAGATATGGGTGATATGGACTGCAAGTGTGCTTCGAATCTCTTCCAGCAGGGCAATGAGCAGCAGTTTGTGCCGTGTTGTGACAAGTTGAACACGTGGATCAAGGCCTCTCTCACAGACGAGGAACAGCTCAAGAAGATCTGGAGGGTGTCGGAGGGCAGCGAGAAGGACGCTTTCAAGGTCAATCAGCTCACAATTATAAGTAGCTGTTTTACCCTCCCCTGATATACATTATACGACCACACATGAAAAGCTGTGCAGCCAATTGTTGTCATATGTGTTGCATGTGGAACATTAATGCACATAAGAGTAGAATTGCAAAATTTCATTACCATTGACTAAATACTTAAAAAGGTTTTTTTTCCAGTTCCCTCCCACTTTCAAACTCAATTTTAAAAAGCTTGTTTAATGTTGTGGATTGTTTCCAGTTTCCCATCCCCCTCGTAAAATTGCAAATTTATGCTATTCAAAAATTGTTCACACGCTTTTTGCATGTAAGAATGTTGTAAAAACTTGTTCACCTGTTCACGCTGACACATTTTGATGCAGTTTATAACAAGAAAAGTTATTTTAAATAGACTTTCATATATTGAATTTCAGAAAAAATCAAAGGGGGAACTGCAAACGAGCCAACTTTGTCAAAATGTAATGAAATTTGGGATGGTGAAGAAACTGACAACTGTAAACATATTTGTTCTTCATGCTTCACATCGTAACATCACGCATTTGGCCGTAATGACAAGTAAAACCAACATGAAAATTGATATTTTGAAAGGTGGTGGTGGTGGGGTTGGAAAAGAGCCAAAAAAGGAACAATTGAAGATGAGGGGCGAGGAAGCAAAAAGTCGCCAACTCTGCGACAGTTATAAACTAAACCGGTTTTCGATTGTTTTTCATCCGGGTACTAGGTGCTCTCGATTTATGCTTCAAATCTCTAGACCAAAAGTTGGTATGTTTCGACCGTCTCGACCAAATTTTGGTTTGTTTCCGTTTTTTTTCGGTCAAATTTCTGTTTTTCGATTTTAGTGACCAAATTTTGTCAACATATGTACATATGAGAGTAACGCTTTTTGAAGACTTTAAAGTAGCAATCGATTCGGAGAACTTGTGTAGGCCTTCTCGCTCTCTTGTGGCGCTCCCGTATATGACAAGCAATTATGCTGGTCTAGCTAACTACGCATTAAAAATACATTTACACCGGATTATTCTTCTAAATGGATCAGTTCTGAACATATGAGAGTAACGCTTTTTGAAGACTTTAAAGTAGCAATCGATTCGGAGAACTTGTGTAGGCCTTCTCGCTCTCTTGTGGCGCTCCCGTATATGACAAGCAATTATGCTGGTCTAGCTAAATACGCATTAAAAATACATTTATACCGGATTATTCTTCTAAATGGATCAGTTCTGAACATATGAGAGTAACGCTTTTTGAAGACTTTAAGTAGCAATCGATTGGGAGAATTTGTGTAGGCCTTCTCGCTCTTTTGTGGCGCTCCCGTATATGACAAGCAATTATGCTGGTCTAGCTAACTACGCATTAAAAATACATTTACACCGGATTATTCTTCTAAATGGATCAGTTCTGAACAAATGAGAGTAACGCTTTTTGAAGACTTTAAGTAGCAATCGATTGGGAGAATTTGTGTAGGCCTTCTCGCTCTCTTGTGGCGCTCCCGTATATGACAAGCAATTATGCTGGTCTAGCTAACTACGCATTAAAAATACATTTACACCGGATTATTCTTCTAAATGGATCAGTTCTGAACATATGAGAGTAACGCTTTTTGAAGACTTTAAAGTAGTAATCGATTTGGTGAACTTGTGTAGGCCTTCTCGCTCCCTTGTGGCGCTCCCGTATATGACAAGCAATTATGCTGGTCTAGCTAACTACGCATTAAAATACATTTACACCGGATACTTCTTCTAAACGGATCAGTTCTGAACATATGAGAGTAACGCTTTTTGAAGACTTTAAGTAGCAATCGATTGGGAGAATTTGTGTAGGCCTTCTCGCTCTTTTGTGTCGCTCCCGTATATGACAAGCAATTATGCTGGTCTAGCTAACTACGCATTAAAAATACATTTACACCGGATAATTCTTCTAAATGCATCAGTCTTCCAGTTGTACCAGAAAAAAAACGCCAAAATTGCGTTTCTATGTCCGTTTTTCCACTCATCGCCCTATTTTTTTGGCTGTGCTCGACCTATGTTTTGACTGTACTTGACTTATGTTGTTTTGACTGTTGAAATTACTTATACACAAGATTATTCTCCTAATTGCATCTGTCTTCCAGTTCTGCCAGATGTTCTACCCAGCCAGAAGTGCTCGTCATATGTTGTTTTGATTTTCTCGACCAAAATTGGGTATGTTTTAAATGTGCTCGACCCATGTTTCCACTGTGCTCGACCTATATTTTGACTGTGATCGGCCTAATTTTTGACTCGACGTATGCTTCGACTGTGCTTGACGTATGTTTCGACTTTGTTCGACCGAAATCGGGTGCTTCGAATGTGCTCGACATATGTTTTGACTGCGCTCTACCTTTGTTTAGACTTGCTCGACTATCAACTGCCATGACTCAATTTAATGAAAAATAATAAAGTAAGCTTTTACTGAAATTCTTGTGATGGTGCTTGAATTGAAATTAGACAATAAAAATTAAAAGTTAAGCATCGAAAATCTATTTTTCTACTTGATATTTTCTATATTTTTTTAAATTTTGTTCCAACAAATCTGTTCTCCAACTTTTGGTCTGAAAAGTGATGATTGAAGAAGTTTTGATAAGATTTAACTTTTTCCTACCGCAGGAACCATCTCTAAAAATAAAGAGTTTCCTAGGAAACTTCTATTTTTGCGGTAAGCAACTCCCTCAATGTTTGTTGCTGGTTGCAACTTTTTAAAAGAGTTCTTTTCTGAGCAGATTTTTTTTGCTCAGTTTCCAGCTTAAGTTCAACCGAAATCTTCAAAAAAAATTGAAAAAATAGGTTGGGCTGGACCGATGTTTCGTTTATGTTTTGACTCTCTCGGCCGAAACAAAGTATGTTTCGACAGACTTAAAATTTTTTCTCGACCGCGGAATTTCAGTCGCAAAACTGCCATTGCTCGACTTTCAAAATCGAAACGTAAGTCGAGCACCTCGACCCGGGTAGTAAATTAAATAGGTTCACTTGTTACTGCTTGCAGGTTTAATTGCATTTCAGAACATCAGCTCTTTTTTTGCCGTAACCTCACATGAGCATTATTTATGGGGAAACGTTAGGTTTTAAAAGGTTAAGGATGAAGCATAAATATGTTTGTTATAGTTAAATTAGTCCGGACATCGTGAACAAAAATTTACAAGACAAATATCGCAGGTGGGGGAAAAGGAAAAAAGCCCAGAACATCTTTCTTTTAAATAGGTTTCTGTACGTTTATTTTCAGAAAATTTGTAGGAGGGAGTTTTTCTCGCATTTCAAATTTTCCATTTCCGTAGCTGTCTTAAGTGTTTTAATGGGTAAAGTAGTGATGTTAAGATGTAAACTATAAAGAAACAAGTGTGTTAACAATATGTAATTTGTTCAGCACTCCTATTTTCATTCCATTGCCAACTTTCTATTTTTATAGTTGTCTTACGACTATTTATGGCTAAGCTGTAAGGTGTAAGGTATGAAGAAAAAATCTGTTCATAATTGTTAGACTCTAAGACACGTTTTTTTTTGCATTATGACAAAGTTATTTGTGGGCGACTGAGAAGAGCAAGTAGTTTTAATCTTATCGCTCAGAGCATTTTTTTAAAATGGCTGAAAATTTCTGTAGCCTGGTCTGAAAAACTTTGATCGATACTGTGAGCCGCGATTATATGTTATTTTTTTAGACCCCTCCGCAAAATTTAGCCACCCATCCCTCCATTATGGCCGTATCACAAAGCGATCTCAATCAATTTTTTGGTAAGCGTTACCTGTAATGGTATTACAGTTCAATTTGTTTCTGTTTCAGTAACAGTACTGTTTCAGTAACATTCCTATCAAAACTACAGCAATGCACAAAAGTTTGTAAAATAAAAGAAAAAAGGCCGTCAAACTAAAGTTATACATATTAGTTATCGAACTGCGTAAAACGAAATCTCTTCCTTGACCTGTCTCCCACGCTTGATACCTCTGAAACTGTAATTTCACTGTCTCTCAAGCTCAGCTCTAGAACTCTTCTCTTGTACATCCTTGATATAGATATCTCGAATTCTGGAGACACAATCAAAAACGATTTCATAAGAAGATGACATTGTTAGTAGTACAGTGCCATATACATTTTCTGGAAAAAATACAATGCCTCACTTGAAGGAAATATCAAATTGGCTCACGCGAAAAAAATCTGACTTTAAATAATTATTGAACAAAAAAATGGGTTGAAGGTAGAAAAAAACTGCTCAAACAACAAATCAAACTTGATAAAATCATAAAATATTGATTTATTCTTCAAGTAACATTTTGTTGATTACGCTTGCGATAAGTAATTGTTATCAAATCGGAATATAGAGGTTTTTTGTGTTAACAAGTATTTTAACAAAATCAGTTGAATCAGTGTGGGCGTTGTATTCACTTCTTCCATGTTCCCTCACATTTCCACGTTCATTCCCATTTAAAGGTTCCTTCCCTAAGGTATGGGGTCGAGTCTCGGTTGGACCTTGCTTTTCGTCCACTCAAATGTTGTCGGCTAAGTTGACACATCACGGATTATGCTTGTGCTGTAAGTGTGCCACATCGCGAATTTTGCTTGATTTTTGCAAGTGCAAGTTTTGCTTTTTTCTAGTTTCAGGGAGGGACTTAAGATTTTTAAAAATTCTTTTTTCAGTTCAATTGGTATCTGCTCAAAGATTGTCGGCTCAGTGGCCACATCTGATTTTTTTGTGCTATAGGCAACTTTCACTGTAGTTTTTCAGTGATGGACTTGAAAGTTTAAAAAAAGTTAAATCATGTACGTTTATTTTCAGAAAACTTGTAGGAGGGAGTTCTTGATTATTTTTTTCTCGCATTTCAAATTTTCCATTTCCGTAGCTGTCTTAAGTGTTTTAATGGGTAAAGTAGTGATGTTAAGATGTAAACTATAAAGAAACAAGTGTGTTAACAATATGTAATTTGTTCAGCACTCCTATTTTCATTCCATTGCCAACTTTCTATTTTTATAGTTGTCTTACGACTATTTATGGCTAAGCTGTAAGGTGTAAGGTATGAAGAAAAAATCTGTTCATAATTGTTAGACACTATGACACGTTTTTTTTGCATTATGACAAAGTAATTTGTGGGCGACTGAGAAGAGCCAGTAGTTTTAATCTTATCGCTCAGAACATTTTTTCTAAATGGCTGAAAATTTCTGTAGCCTGGTCTGAAAAACTTTGATTGATACTGTGAGCCGCGATTATATATTATATGTTATTTTCTTAGACCCCTCCGCAAAATTTAACCACCCATCCCTCCATTATGGCCGTATCACAAAGCGATCTCAATCAATTTTTTGGTAAGCGTTACCTGTAATGGTATTACAGTGCAATTCAGTACTGCTTCAGTAACATTCCTATCAAAACTACAGCAATGCACAAAAGTCTGTGAAATAAAAAAAAAAATCCGTCAAACTAAAGTTATACATATTAGTTATCGAACTGCGTAAAACCAAATCCCTTCCTTGACCTGTCTCCCACGCTTGAAACCTCTGAAACTGTAATTTCACTGTCTCTCAAGCTCAGCTCTAGAACTCTTCTTTTGTACATCCTTGATATAGTTATCTCGAATTCTGGAGACACAATCAAAAACGACTTCATAAGAAGATGACATTGTTAGTAGTAAAGTGCCATATACATTTTCTGGGAAAAATACAATGCCTCACTTGAAGGAAATATCAAATTGGCTCACGCGAAAAAAATCTGACTTCAAATAATTAGTGAACAAAAAAATGGGTTGAAGGTAGAAAAAAACTGCTCAAAAAACAAATCAAACTTGATAAAATCATAAAATATTGATTTATTCTTCAAGTAACATTTTGTTGATTACGCTTGCGATTAGTAAGTGTTATCAAATCGGAATATAGAGTTTTTTTTTGTGTTAACAAGTAGTTTAACAAAATCAGTTGAATCAGTGTGGGCGTTGTATTCACTTCTTCCAGGTTCCCTCACATTTCCACGTTCATTCCCATTTAAAGGTTCCTTCCCTAAGGTATGGGGTCGAGTCTCGGTCGGACCTTGCTTTTTGTCCACTCAAATGTTGTCGGCTAAGTTGACACATCACGGATTATGCTTGTGCTGTAAGTGTGCCACATCGCGAATTTTGCTTGACTTTTGCAAGTGCAAGTTTTGTTTTTTTCTAGTTTCAGGGAGGGACTTAAGATTTTTAAAAATTCTTTTTTTTTCAGTTCAATTGGTATCTGCTCAAAGATTGTCGGCTCAGTGGCCACATCTATGATTTTATTGTGCTATAGGCAACTTTCACTGTAGTTTTCAGTGATAGACTGGAAAGTTAAAAAAAAGTAAAATCATTGTTTTTTTTCGGTTCAACTGGATTCTCAAATTCGGTTTCAGAAATTTATTAATTGTTCAAACGTTCTTTTTTTAATGGTTATTAGAAACTGCCTTTTTGGCGCGCGCTGCATCCTCATAAGATGGAATCCCTCATAGGCGAAAGACCGAATGGGCGAAAATATAAATCAGCGAATCAGATTTCAGTATTCCAAAATTTGGAAAGAAAGCGTGAAAATCTCAAAAAAAGTAAGCTTTTCCAGGGACTTAGTTATAATTTTGGCCGAATATAAAAACGGCAGAAATAAGCAAAGTTTTCAAATTAGCACTGACCGCCGCCGAATTGGAACAAATTTCATATTTCAAGGGTTTCGTTACTAAACAAGCAAAGCATTGCTTCATTTAATTCCTTTTAGTTCAACAGCAATTGATTCATTTTAATAATTAACTTTCAACTGTTTTTGTTTTCGGTCCTTCGCCCATGAGAATAGCCTTTGGCGTCTATTTCTCTCTTTCCCCGACCTTTACATTTGAGCGGCTTTTGAATAATGCAGTCATGTAATTTTTCCATGTTATTTTTGTTGTATTATTCACAATTTTTTGTCTGAAATTTTTCAAAGGGCAATGGGATCTTGTTAATTATCTCTCCCCCCCCCCTATTTTGGTTTCAGAAATTCAACTTTGGCGGCCACATTTTCAATAGCTCATAAGAATTTTCAGAAAATATATATATTTTAAAAAAATTTTAAATCGGTATTATATAAATAGTGAGTAATACAAATAGGAACGCGCGAAAATGAAAACCGATTTAATTATTGACATTTTTGAAATGTATATTTTATACAGAAATGGTTGTCAAAAATAATACATGCATTGGGGGTGGGAATAGTTAACAAGGTCCAAAAGGGGGGGGGGGAATAGTTAACAAGATCCGGGCAATGATACTTTGTGTTAATTATAGGATTTTACGGGCCAAGTGCAGCAGTGCCTGGATGGTAAACTGAGTGGGGACTTCAACGTAAGGGCGGACAAGCTGGGGGGATCGGGCAAATTGGGAGACACCACAATGACCCTGAAACTGGCCACCCTCCTCACCCCTGTCTTACTCAACAGAATCACCACCACCCCCACAATGGCAGGCACAAATGGAATGGACAAGTGAAGTGTGGGTAAAGTTAGTATTCCTAATCACTCAACTATTTTTTTAAGAATCCGCAGGCTTTTTTCAAATTCACTCCCTCTCTCTTCCCTATTCTCACAAAAACATGGTGATAACTTTCTCCTTTTCGCGTGTTGGTCAAATGCTTTTAGGACAGCCAATTATTTCAAAAGTCGATATGTGAGGTTTGAAGAGCAAATTTGGTTATGTTGTTAAAATGTCTCAACAGATTGGTTTTCAGCTTTAGAAAAGGGTTTGTGCAAATAGACGAATGCTTTAAATAAACCAGTCAATTGAATACATCGTTTTATAATTATGTTTCTCGGCGTTAAACAGTTCAAGGTGAACTCATTTTCCATGGTCTGATTTTTACAGTCCATCCTCAAAACGCCGTACGGCTCGTTTCTTTTTCTCTTGCCTAACATAAGCACCAACTTGTGGCAACGAGGAGTTCCACAAGTTCGAAGATGAAGACTAAATAAGTTTGTCATTGCCTAATCTGTCGGCAATCGAATTTCATAACTATCGGATATTATGAACGGGGAAGGTGACGGTGAAATTGCTAGAAAGTGTACACCCTAAGTTGTTCAGGTGGATGAAAGTGGAATTAGCCACAGAGAACAAACTGATGATCAATGGATGAGTGAATACATCGTTTCATTGAATGATTCGGCCAATGAGCAAATGCCACGTTTCAAATGGACAATGCACAATTTCATCAAATCCAGATGAAAATTGCAACCAAATTGAATCTTCGTCAATTGATGAGACAGAAAAGAAATGAAAGTTCCATCAAATAAGACAGAAATGAAAGGAAATGGAATAAAAAGAAAAAAAGGAGAAAAAAACAGCTTACGAAAAAAGAGTTGCGAATGTTTTTGCTTCAGTGCAACCAAGTTAAATTTATTAATCCTGCATAATAAAATTACAGACAAATATCAAGAAAATTGAAGCTTCATTCTGAAATTTCTAACAGTTTTGAGAAATGGAACCAGCCTTTGAGAAGGAAAACCAGACGCTTACCTAATTGATCTAAAATGAGGCGCCACATTGTCTAACAATTAGTCGCGACACAGTTCAAAAATCAGTCGCTAAAAATCTTCACTAAAATTTGTTTTTCTTGGTCACATTTTGACCGAAAACTAGGCAAATTTAACTATAGGCAAATTTTTGGGTTCAACGACAAAATAGTTACGTCGAAACATACCAATTTTTGATCGAGTGGGTCGAAACAAAAATTGCTCAAATTGAACAGTGGTTATCATTACTTTGGTCGCATCGGCCGTGGTCACGTTTCCTCGGTCTGCAAAATCTGGAAATGCCGAATTTCGGTCGCGGTGTTCCCAAAGTGTGAGCGCGACCAAAATTCAGGAAATACCAAATTGTCTGATCATAAAAGCACAACCTCGTCCCGGGCCCTTAAGTAAACTACCGTTGAACTTTCACCTAAGCACGAATAAGTTCTGAAAGCTGATTCCGTATAAATAAAATACGTTTTTCATACAAGCGAAATACATTGCTTGAAAATTTTGACCTGGATTAGCTATTTACACAAGAATAGCTTGTTATAGTATGAACTTTTTTTTCCAACCTAAGTCGCAAATATTGTTGCGATGCAATTGTTGCGACAAAATGTGTTCATTGTGAAAGCGTTTATTTTGATCCAGCTATTAAGTACAGCCAATGCTAAGTATATTATTATAGACTATTAAATAGCACTTTAGCTTCAAGGTATCATGGATCTATAGCGTAGAGGTAGAGTAAGAGACCAGCAACAAACTAAGAGGGTTCGAACCTGGACAGGTTTGGATGCTTTTATTGAATTTTTCGTATACTAATTAAAATTCCGTCAAAAATTTGTTCACGCAAAATTGTGATTTCTCGCGGTTTTGCTTGTGATTTCTGTTTAAGTTCAGTGCATTTCCATTGTTAAAAAGAAGGCAAACTCCATTGTCGAACAGCAAAAGTGTAAAGGTCGCGAAAAACGTGATCGACCTCTAATTTCGAAAATGTAATTCCCAGCAAAATACTTATCAGTTATTTTTTCACTTTCCTTGCGTTCATTACTTTTTTCCAACTGTCAGTTGGCTATGTTTATGGCTAGAAATCTAAACGTGAGAAGTTCAAACTACATTTATTTGAAGAAAAAGTGAAGTTGAGACTAGATTTAATTTGAATCAAAATTTGAAGCAATTCAGTTATTTAACACAGAAGTAGCGTTAATTATGAGGTAATATCAAGGAGTACAACGATCCATTTGTGAAAAAGTTATTTGAGAATTTTGCCAGATTTTTTACAATCAAGCTCAAGAAAGCTTAAGTTTTTTTGCCGTTTTAAATTATCTGAAATGTTTGCTACGAATAAAATTCGACAATTTCAAAATTCCGTCAAAAATATGGAAACAACTTTGGAAAAAATATTTTTTAGTTGATTATGTTATGTCAATGCGTAATTCTGAGAAAATAATTTTATTATTCGTAAAACACTTGTTTTTATCCATTTTACCGTGCCTTTTAAGGCTGAAGTTTGCAGCTATCAAAAATTAATGATCAAACAAATGCATCAAGTTGGCCTCTGTATGTAAAAACTGAAACAGAAGTTCATAACAAATTCATATTTTTTCAGGTATTTAGTAAAAATAATTTGACTTTTTTGTGCATAACATTCTACCACCTGCAACCGCAAAATTTTTTCCTTATAGTTGACTAATTTTTTATTATCTATAAGTAAATTTTACCATCAAGGAAGCATTATTTTTCGAAATTTTGGCATTTGGGTGCTGATCAAAAAAATGGAAAATGCAGATAAGCTCTTTATTTGGGCAACAAATTTCCAACCTCGTTAATAAAATTGTAAGAACACTCAAAATTTTCTCCTTATTCTATGAATTCTCCCAGCAAAACACTGCAGGATATTAGACTGATGACTTGATCATTACAGAAAAAGGCTTTTTGTACTTCAAAGTTCAAGATCTCTTTTTGATATCTGTTTTCGAGCATTTTGACAACCAATTTTTATGGGAACAAAAAATATTTGCTTTTTGGAAATCAGCCAGTTCTTCAATTTATCTTGCAAAACACGAGGCACAGGATCTTTTTTTCGCCCGGGTCGAGGTACAAGGCTTAAGGAAGATTTTGTAAGTCGAGCTGCATACCTTTGTTAGACCAATTTTCAAATCACTTCGCGAATCAAAGTCGGACCTTACAGTTTTTTCCTATGTCGAGCGTCCAGTCTTTTTAAAATCACGCCGCTTAAGTCTTTTCTCAAGTGGCGCACCAGTATTTCTTAGTCTTGCTCCCAAACGGTTTCAACAAAAAATCCTGATGAACCCGAGGACACTGAGATAAGAAGTTTTGGTAGTTGCGCACAGATACAAAAAACGGTAAATGCAGATAAACTCCGTATTTGGGCAAGAAATTTCTAATCTCGTTGAAAGAAATTGTAAAAAAAAATCAATAGCTTGTTCTATGCCTTGACCCAGAAAATTGTGCAGGAAAACTGACTGATTACTGGGTAAATACAGAAAAAACCTGTAAGTTGTTGCAGTGTCAAATTTGTAAAAGGTTATAGAATGAGCGGATACCCCTCTCCCAGGATAGACCAATTTAAACTCAGCCACCTTAGCGTTCAACTTAGCTTAAACTTGCTAAGCGCTGTGTTTAAAGGGCTCAATTCTTATTGGCTAAAATATTCACTCAAAGTCAAGTTAATTTCCTCCTTCTACAACTAAGTGAAGTGGCAAAAATGGCTATTGGAAGGTGGCGTCATTCATGCTTGAAGGACCGAATGCTTTAAATTTACTTTAGCTTATTCTCAGCCAATCAGAATTGAGTACTCAAAATCTCAATGTAAATCGTGATAATCTCAAGAACTTTTCAGTCTTGAAAACTCATCTGCTTATTATCTAATCGGTCAGTATTAACACTAATGGCCTGGATTTATTTTCTTTCTTTATGAACTTGAACTCATAAATTTTGATTTTTATCTGAATAGTATTGCGGTTGTAACCCGCAATTTATAATATTTTTGATTATTTTCCACTGATTTAAAACATTTTTTGTTAATATTGACTTCGATTTTGTGAGAAAAGCATTTAGCCAATAGGAACGCTTAGCGATTTTGATTGGTTGAAACTTTTCAAGCATTCGGTCCTTCAAGCATGAGAACCCTCCCCCTATTGGAACATCTTGGGGTTCAGTTTTCTTTTGTTCCGGCTTTCCAAAAACGCATGGAGCATATTTCTTATTTCATCTGTGCATTGATATCTTGAGCTTAAGTTTTGAAAGAGTTTTTTTTAAAATAAAATATAGGGGCTTGAAAACTGCAAACTTGGCCCATTTGGGACAATAAACGCGCTATATTTTTCGGTGCTATTAACGTGCATGCGGTGATTAAGTTTGGCATAAAAATCATTCTTAACAGATTTGAGGCAATCTATTTTATCTTTTTAATCCGTAACTAGGCGCTAAATGCATCGTTTATATTAACTGTTCTATATTATTTTCCACATATTAAAGTGCCAAGCTCGGGTACTTTGATAAAAGTGTAGTTTTTATGGAACAATTTGCTCACTTCAAGGATTTCAAAAAAACTTCCTTAAAACATCGAAGATTAATCAGAAGACAAATGTCAAAGATAAATAGACATTGAATTATTAATGCTTTATCGTCGTTCATTGGATTCTTCAAACTTAAACAAATTGTCAGATTCCAAGTGGGCATCTTTGCCTCTGAATTTCTGTTATTATAGTCTCTAACGCATGTGAAAACGTGTCTGCTAAAATCAGAAGCGTGTGAGAACAGATCAAATTTAAAAAAATTTCAAAAAAAAATATTTATTTAGTTTTTAAAATCTTTTAAAATGGATGGTAGCGAAAATCAGTGAAAATCAGTCTGTTAACAAATGTTAGTTCTGAAGTCATAAGTTGACTTCGAAAACTCTACACCGAGAAAAGTTATTCGGATCTATTTAACTACTTTCGCCCCTGCTCTCAAATTATTCAACGGTGCCGAAAATTATTTTGTATCTGCTGAATCACTGGCAGGCAAGAGTTTACATTGGCGGAAGACAAATTTGCCCAATTTAATTGTTGCCTCATGTAAATACAACAAAAATTCCGCAAACACGGCGTCACAAAATAGTATTCACTGGAAAATGCTAACGATTCACAAAAGGAATTCAGATTTTGAAATATTATTTCATCAATTTTCGGCCTTGTTGAAACCCCGAATTAAGTTAATAAAAACACCTAGTTGAGTAGACTGTGGATAATGTTCTGTTATGACTTGAAAATATTTTCATTCTAGTTGTCTAATTTCGTTTTTATACTGTGAACGTTAACGAATACTTTATTTCTGATTAGAGCAGAGCGTGAACAAAGCTTATGCAGTGTCAGAAAGAAGCGATGATCTGAAACTAAGATAAAGTTAGCGCAGCAATGAGACACATTTCTGCTCCCTTCACATCCCGACCCCCCTTTTTGCAACAGGGACATGGGTGCCACGGGGGGTCATCGGTGGATAGTTGCAGTAGGGCGGCTGCCTGCATTGGCTGTGAGAGTGGCTGCATGTGCTTCGACTGTTTCAGCCAGAGACGACCAAGGACAGCAGTCAGGTCTTGCTCGGATGTTCCGACCTCGTGTGCAGCACCATGCGGCCCAGCTGGTGCAAATAGATCCTGCGTGAGAAGCTGCGGAGATCACGCTTTCCCAAACTCAGGCTAGAGCCAAGTGACTATTTATTTTGAAAATCTATATATTTTTGCCTAGATGTGAAGAAAGCATAAAACGGGAAAAAAATTAAATCAAAACTGCAGATTTTGTTGATGGATGCGCATCTCTTCTGATATCAGAAAATACTACATCATTATCAATATGAGCTTTTAAAAGCAAATTTTTTGAAATTTTTC